TTAATTTATATTTTTAATAAAAATTAATTATAAAAAATATTTTAATTTATATTTTTAATAAAAATTAATTATAAAAAATATATTTATTACATGTGCCTATATAACAAATAAAAACCTATGTCTTAGTGGTGATGAATCTGAATTCTTTAGAAACGGAACGGGTTAACTCATATAATTCTCCAAAATTGAACTAAGAACAATAAAAATTTAAGCTTGAAATTGTTGCGGGCTACTCACCGTAAATTGCTTGAGTTGTCCACTTCCATTCCACTAGAGGTCGATTAATCGACATCGCCTAGGTCAGGGCTAATATGCATGCCCTGAAGCTGCCACACCGACCGAAGAAAAGCAGTTGCCTCCTGATCTCGCCACTCAAGCAGCATCGAACTGGTACGAAGTTTAGCTTTCGGCTGAGAGACCGCAAAGTTACAGAGATTAGCGGTTGCCGTCGCCCTGGCCGGAGAGAAATCTTCTTTCTGGGCGGTACTGAAAAGTCCAATGGACCTGGATCATTCATTCATGTTGGGCTCCAAGCCCAACAATTTGATCAACTACTTTAACCTAACCCAAGAGGTTGAAGTAAACCTGTCCGGTAGAATCTAACCCTTACCGGCTAGATTTTTTGAAGTAAAAACAAACCTGCAATCTTTTCGCATCCCAGTTTGACTTTGGGAATTGGGACCCGTCTCTGCTTCGATTTACGGTTTACAATTTGTCTAAATCAGGAACAGGATGTTGCAGTTTTATTCTTGTTTTGATAACAGTCGGCAGACAGTTTGTCATGGCTATTACTTTTGTTATATTTGATTGAACTGTCGCTTTCTATTTTAGTTGCATACAATTATAGTGATGGATATGAATTCGATTGCTTGCTTTCTGTCTTAACTGCTCTTGATCTTGTTCTTTCCAATAAATGGAGTCTTTTGTGAGAATTAGTTGCCCTAAAGCGTATAATTTTCTTAATTCTTTGCTATGTCATGTGTGGATAATAGCTATTTTAGACGTGTACTGCATTTCACAGTTGTTGTGTATATAGTTTGGATGAGCTTGATGATACTTCTTGTTTTTATGGCAAAGGATTTCCTGAGGTTGTTTCATTTATCTGTGTAGTAGCAGCTTTTTTTTATCAGTTGCGTTACATTAACAGAAGAATAATTCAATGATTGTCATTCTACTTGTACAGAATATTTGGTTTGAGAGGGGAAGGGTGATATTTTTAGCTAATCAAATTATATCGTTGACAAATAATGCAATTTGATTGGTTAAAAAATATCTTTCCTCTTCTCTATTTCCCTCAAATCAAATATTCTCGTAGTTAGCTTGATATAACAAAGATATAATATTGAAGAAAGTAAAAGTTCTCTGATTTTTAGATGTAAATACAAAAGTGGGTTTTCCTTTTACTAATGAAGTAGTTTGATGTAATAAACCCTGATATTGGGTCACAATTAGGGTTGTGTAAAATAATATATATGATAACATCACCAAAATGCTATCATGAAATTCAGACTTTAGTGTTATTTTAATCCCTTTTCCATTTCAAGTTAAAAGTGATTGTTTTAATAAGTCATGCAGATAATACTATGACAAATCATAAAAATGTTGATTTCACTCTCTCAGGTTTGTAGTTGGAGCGGCATGTCCAGTGCTTTTTATTATTTTTTAATGCTTTCAATGATTTAGATTTGTTCATCAACCAATGTGCAGCAACGTGGGGCTTTTTAGTGTTGTTAATTAGATTCAGATATGCCTTTTTTGCAGGATACCATTAATAATTGCAAGTCAAGAATGAAGCAATACTGCCCTGGAGGAAGGAAGAAAATGTATCAATGGTGCAACTTGGACAGTGAAAAACGCTTATACTCCTTTCTGGACTTGGTTGTCCCCAGGGAGAGGTGCATGCTGTGGTGGTTGACCTTCCTGCATAGCTTTGTATCTCTTGATTAGTAAAATGAACTGGCCATGAGGGAAATCTGCAGCAGTTGTGAACAGAATGGTGCAAAACAAAGAACTGCCTAAGTTGAGGGAAGGATTTTCTCAAATTAGTGAGTTCAAACTATTCTTGACACATGCAGTAAACTTGGGCCATCAGATACCCTACCAAATGGTTGCAGTAGCCAGCAGACCTCAAATGCGGAAAGTTCAACAGGGGATTACGCAGTTTCATTAAGAAAGCAGAGGTCCCTTCATATGTAGCATTCACTAAAAATGGTATTCAAAGTACTGTGCTTTCTCATGTTATTGAGACGAAGGATCACTTTGTAGGCAATGAAGAAGTTGAGGCAAGAGATGGGTGAGCAGCTCACGTCGGCCATAAACATCATGACTGTAAGTAGACCTTTTGCCAGTAACAATAATATTATATTGACCATTGAAAATTCCTTTTAGGCTTCTCATACTCCTTTCCTTGAGCTAGATTGTTAGACTTGAACCGTCTTTGGAACCAATTCCTCTTTTGTTAAAATCCTTCTTTCAGAATTATTATTAAAAAGAAAAAAAGGGGCAAACCTTTTTCCTTAGATCAATCACAGAAATATAAAGGTGCAATTCCAACATTTGCACCAATTTGGATTTAATGATCCCAGCCTTCCCATTTTGTTTGGGCTGGCTTAGATTTTCATTGGCAATGCAATTTATAAGTTTCTTTAATATAAAGTAAACTAGAAATTTGCAAAGAGAAGAAACTACATGCATAGGAATTTAGCTTAACCTCTCAATATCATACCGTAGAGGTTGTTTGAAAGGCTTACAGATTAACAAACAAGAAATTGGATGTATGCATCTCTTATTTCTGTGACAACTATATCAGCACGTAGGGCTCCCTTTTGGTCACTACGGTGCTAGACTGCTAGATCCTTCTCTCTCGTGTCCTTGGAGCTCTCCGCCCACGATTTCTGCCTCTTTGATTTAGCCGAGGAAAAAACCTGAAAAGAACACTGTCGACACGTGTGTAATACCATATCCTCCATCTCTTCCAAAACAGAAGTGGTAAAATGACAATGGCCAAGCCAAAAACAACTCCCACTTCAACACTTATGAGATTCCAGTCAATCTTGGTTCCATTATCTGAATTGTTGCCTTTGGATGTGGGTACGCTAGACGGTGGCTGCACATCAGATCCGCAATCCTTCAAAGGGGTCCCGCACAATCCCTTGTTATCTTTGAAGGAGTCTTCTGTAAATGTTTGAATTTGACTTCCTTTAGGGATTCTTCCTTCCAATTGATTGTGTGAGAGATTAAGGGTTGATAGGAAATTCAGGCCTCCCAGCTGCTGAGGTATATTGCCACTCAAGTTGTTAGTAGAAAGGTCCAAGGACTCGAGATTATGCAAGTTCCCCAGAGATGAAGGGATTGGACCCACAAGAGAATTGTGTGACAAATTGAGAATATAGAGTGCCGTCAATCCCCCGGTCACTTCAGGTATCTTCCCTTCAAAGTTGTTACATGAAAAATCAATGGAGGTGAAGATTGTTAAGATCTTCACTAACTCTAGCTCTAAACCTTTGCTGGTGACCGTCACCGCATCTTGATAATATGCACCAAATGGAATATTATAATTGAGGAAATCTAGTGCAGCGGGGGCACCACTTTTTCCAACCATCATTGCTGTCCATATCTCAAAGAATGTTTCTGGCAGCATTCCACTGAACTTGTTAGAAGCTAGATCAACAATCTGAAGTAATGGCCAGGTTTCATTACTCACTGGGCATTCAAGGGGCCCACAGAATTTGTTGGATCGCAAAACAAGAACCTGCAAACTGGATATGGTGCTCAACCAACATGGGAAGCTATCATTAATCCCATTGTTCCCCACATCTAAAACATTAAGCATTTTGCAGTTGGCCAAGGACTTGGGAATCTTTCCTTGCAGGAGATTCTTATTGAGATTCAGAGTTTGTAATGCACAATTGACTGAAAATACATCAGGAATTGTGCCAGTCAAGTTGTTTCTCTTTAAATTCAGGACGCCCAGTCCGTTTGAATCAACTGAGATGTTACTCTGACTCATAGCAATCAAACATTGAGGCACGGTGCCGCTTAAAGAATTATTGGACAAATCGAGGACTTGAAGTTGTTTTCCTTTGCAAATTGATTCAGGGATGACTCCATGAAAACAATTGCCTGAGATTGAGAAAAACAAAGTGTTGCTCAGGAAATTACCAATGTTAGCAGGAATAACAGAGCTGAACCGATTCTCTGAATAGTCCATGTATCGAGCTAACGTCATCATATGAGAGATATCCCCTTGGAGCTGATTAGAACGGAGGTCTAATAGTATCTCAGAACTAAAATTATGATTACCAAAAGATGCATCTACTTCGCTCAACGAGTTATGTGACAGATTGAGCAATTGCAAAGGGAGCTTAGATATCCAGTTGGGTATTTCTCTTTGAATTTGGTTCCTTGAAAGATCTAAAGCCAACATATTTGACTGATTTTTCAAGAAACTTGGAAATTTCCTCAGCTTGCAGGAGGCCAACCTTAATTCCACCAATTGAGGGAAACTGGTGAAATCAATATTACGAAAAAAACCATCATCCACCAATATGTTATTGAAAGAAAGATCAAGTGTAGAAAGATTTCCAAGTTTCTGGATGATGCTTAGCTCTAAAGTGCCACTAAAGTTGTTGTAAGAAAGAGTGAGTAGCTGAAGACCTTGGAGCTTGAAAAAAGAACTAGGTATTGAACCTGCTAACCTGTTATTGCTCAAATCAAGCTCGGTCAGCTGAGAAGAAGATACAACCGGGAAGTTACTAATTTGACCAGAGAACCGGTTGTTTGAGAGAAGTGCAAGCTGCAAAGATGGAAGGGAAAACAGAGACAAGGGAATAGTTCCCTCTAGTAAATTGTCATGCAGCCAAAGATTTGCAAGATTTGAAAGGTTTTCCCAGTTGGTGGAACTTATCTGACCTGACAAATTATTATAAGAGAGATCTAAATCAGTCAAATTTTTCAACATACTGAGAGATGGAATGGACCCAGAAAGCTGATTCCAAGACAAGTCCAAAAGAAGCAGATTTGCAAGGCTTCCTATCGAGTTTGGAATTGACCCTCTTAAATTGCAGCCTGGGAGTTCCATTGTTGACAACATCTTAAGGTTCCCAATGGAGGCTGGCATCATCCCTGAAATGTTTGTTTCACTCAGCACCAGGGTCTGTAAAGACCCATTTTCTGGAAAGTCAGGCAGAAACACATGAACCAACTGATTGATTG